CCATTCCCGGTGGCGAGCCTGACCAGCCGCTCTCCTCCAGCTCCTGCCTGCAGCCCAACCACCGCTCAACGGTACCCTCAGCAATTCCAGGGACCTTGCTTTCTTCTCAGGTCCCACCTTCTCTACCCTCTGACCCACCTTTGTTGGTTTCTCTCTGCAGAAACGGAAGGTGGAGGTGGTTTCACCAGCAACTCCAGTGCCCAGTGAGACAGCCCCAGCTTCGGTTTTTCCCCAGGTGAGTTCCCCAAACCATTTCTTGTTCCTTTCCTCTCTTCTGCCCTCTGGTGGCCCTTTTCAAGCTCATCTCACAGTCATCCCTTCTTTTCCTGGTATCTCATCTGCAGAATGGAGCAGCACGTAGGGCAGTGGCAGCCCAGCCAGGACGGAAGCGAAAATCAAATTGTCTGGGCACTGATGAGGTGGGTCTGGGGAGCAGCAGAAGGGAGCTGCGTGAAAAGGAAGGGATGCAGGCAGGGTGGAGAGTTATTTAGTGATGAGTATAAAAATGAAGGGGTGGTGGACCTGGGCAGGGCTAGTGTTGGTAGGATTAGGAGCCAGGCAGAACATGGTTCAAATGAATCATTGGGGCTGGGCACCATGGTGCACACCTGTAATCCCAGCACTTTGGGAGGCCAAGGTGGGTGGATCACCTGAGGTCAGGAGTTTGAGACCAGCCTGGCCAACATGGCAAAACCTCATCTCTACTAAAAATAAAAAAATTGGTTGGGCACAGTGGCTGACACCTGTAATCCCAGCTCTTTGAGAGGCCAAGGTGGGTGGGTCATGAGGTCAAGAGATTGAGACCACCCTGTCCAACATGGTAGTGAAACATGGTGAAACCCCATCTCTACTAAAAGTAAAAAATCAGCTGGGCCTGGTGGCGCACGCCTGTAATCCCAGCTACTTGGGAGGCCGAGGCAGGAGAAACGTTTGAACCCCGGAGGTGGAGGTTGCAGTGAGCTGAGATTACACCACTGGTACTCCAGCCTGGGAAAAAAGTGAGCCTTTGTCTCAAAAAAAAAAAAAAATTAGCCAGACATAGTGGCAGGCACCCGTAATCCCAGCTACTCCGGAGGCTGAGGCCAGAGAATCTCTTGAAGCCCGGAGGTGAAGGTTGCAGCAAGCCAAGATTGCACCACTGCACCTCATCCTGGGCGACAGAGTGAGACTCCATCTCCAAAATGATCATTGGGTGATGTTTTCCACATCATCAGTCCCTTAGGGTTTCAGGTTTTACGTCTGGAAATTGGGGGTCATGGTACCTTCCCTATAGGGTTGCTGTTAGGCTTGAAGGAAACCTGTTGAGGGGGTGTGAGCTGTGGTGTCCTGCTGAGCTGTCTCGTCTAACCTGGTGTCTTCTACTCGCCCTGGGCAGGACTCCCAGGACAGCTCAGATGGAATACCATCGGCACCACGCATGACTGGCAGCCTGGTGTCTGACCGGAGCCACGACGACATCGTCACCCGGATGAAGAACATTGAGTGTATCGAGCTGGGCCGGCACCGCCTCAAGCCGTGGTACTTCTCCCCGTACCCACAGGAGCTCACTACATTGCCTGTCCTCTACCTGTGCGAGTTCTGCCTCAAGTACGGCCGTAGCCTCAAGTGTCTTCAGCGTCACTTGGTATGAGGGGTACAGGGAGGCTGCCTTCCCAGCACTGTCCACCTTGCCCTCGTCCCTGATCCTCCTCTCTTCCCCAGACCAAGTGTGACCTCCGACATCCTCCAGGCAACGAGATTTACCGCAAAGGCACCATCTCCTTCTTTGAGATTGATGGACGCAAGAACAAGGTTAGTGCCTGAGAGGCAGTGGGGCTGTGGGGTAAGTCAAATGACAGTTTCTTCCTGCTCAGGAAAACTGACCAGTTGAGCCAGCAGATGGGTTCGGCCCATTTTTATTGAGTTCCTGCTGTCTGGCAGGTGCTGGTAGCCAGGAATGAGACAGTCTCTGTTCTCTGACAGCTTACAGTCCACGGGGAGACAGACATACCAACAACGTCTTCGATTCCAGTGTCATGTCATGAAACAGAGAGTAGGTTAGCAGGACCCAAAGGAGGTGGTCAGCAGAGCTTCACAGAGGTTAACTTTGAGCCGTGACGTGGAAGACAAAGGAATTTCTTGCAGTGGCATTCTGAGGAGTGGGCATGGATGCACAGAGATGGTCTTTGTGAGAGGCAAGGTCATGTGGCTGAGAGGCAGAGAAGGAAGGATGAGGGAAGGCTTTTATAAGGGACAGAGCTCAGGTGAAGAAGATGCTGTGTTAACCACCATTCTGTAATTATTAATGTGGACGTGGGCATCCAAGTGGCAGTACCCAGCAGCAATTTTTGGCAGGGCACAGTGAGTCATACCTGTAACCCCAGCACTTTGGGAGGCCGAGGTGGGCCAATCACTTGAGCCCAGAATTTCAAGACCAGCCTGGGCAACATAGAGAAATCCCATCTCTGCTAAAAATTTTTAAAAAATTGGCTGGGTACAGTGGATCACCCTGGAATCCCAGCACTTTGGGAGGACAAGGCGAGTGGATCACAAGGTCAGGAGATTGAGACCATCCTGGCCAACATGGTGAAACCCTGTCTCTACTAAAAATACAAAATTAGCCTGGTGGCATGTGCTTGTAATCCCAGCTACTCGGGAGGCTGAAGCAGGCGAATCGCTTGAACCAGGGAGTCAGAGGTTGCAGTGAGTCAAGAATGCAGCACTGCACTCCAGTCTGGCGACAGAGCAAGACTGTCTCTCAAAAATAAATAAATAATAAAAGAGCCTAGTGTGATGGTGCACATCTGTAGTTCCAGGCAATCAGGAGGCTGAGTTGGGAGAATCACCTGGGAAGTCAAGGCTGCAGTGAGCCATGATAACACCACTGGGTGTCTCAAAAAAAAAAAAAAAAAAAAACAACCCACAGTCTCTGAAATGCAGAAGTTCTGTGCAGAAATAAAGCAGCATTATTCATAATTTTGCTGGGGTAACCCCTAAGGCAGTTAAATTCCAGAATTCTTTAACTGTCGTAGAATTGCAGATCAGTTCCCAGGAGGTGTGACTATGGATGTAGAATGTTAGGTTGTTTTAGCAGCTAGACTCCCAAGATTGTCAGATAGGGAGAGCTCTCAGAAGCTGTGGTTGGAGTCTGACTTTGGACACATTAGTTTGTTGACTGCTGTCCAGCACTTTGGGAGGCCAAGGCGAGCAGTTCATGAGGTCGAGATTGACACCATCTTGACAACATGGTGAAACCCCGTCTCTACTAAAAATACAAAAATTAGCCAGGCATGATGGCGCTTGCCTGCAGTCCCAGCTACAATGGAGGCCGAGGCAGGAGAATCGCTTGAACCCGGAGGTGGAGGTTGCAATGAGCTGAGATTACACCACTGTCCTCCAGCCTGGGTGACAGAGTGAGACTCTGTCTCAAACAAACAAAACAAAAATGTTAAGGGGCAGTGGAGTCTCCGGGCCAAGCTTAGATAGAGGTGTGCAGAGCAAGGCAGGGAAAATTGTCGGACTCAGCAGGGAGGCATCCAGGCACCATCACACCTCTGGTGCACAAGCTTTCCAACACTGAGGAGCAGCCCTGCCTAAGCTGCGAGCTGGTGGAATGGGTCAGGCCCTGCCAGGAAGGAACAGTCATCACCTGTCGGCCTGGGGTTCAGCACAAACAGTGAAGCTTCTGGTCGACCCTGAACCACTGGCCAGGCTCAAGGCCGGGTACCCAGAGTGGTGACAAACCTTTTCTCTTGCAGAGTTATTCCCAGAACCTGTGTCTTTTGGCCAAATGTTTCCTTGACCATAAGACATTGTACTATGACACAGACCCTTTCCTCTTCTACGTCATGACAGAGTATGACTGCAAGGGCTTCCACATTGTGGGCTACTTCTCCAAGGTCAGTGCCGACCCAGGCTGTTGCTGTGCCCTGTCCTGAGCCAGGTCCCTTCCGTCACACTCACCTGTCTCCCTTTTTCAGGAGAAGGAGTCAACAGAGGACTACAATGTGGCCTGCATCCTAACGCTGCCTCCCTACCAGCGCCGGGGTTACGGCAAGCTGCTGATCGAGTTCAGTGAGTATGTGTGCTGCGGCCAGGGGGAAGTGCACCCGTCATCGGTGCCTCACAGGCAGATGTGCCGGGCTACTGTGATTCCCAGCCCTGGTTGTGCAGCCCAGTCTCTAGCGGAGCCAGCCAGGAATAACGGTGGCACTCTACTGGGGTTCCCTCCATTCAGGCCAACTGCCCTGCTCATCTGGGATAGGTTCTCAGCCCCACAGTTTGCTCCTTGGCTAAGGTTTAAGTGCCACTCAGTTGACTTACATGCTCCTGTCTGGGGCCATGGGCAGGAGGTTAGTGAGCCGCTGGTACTCATGTATCTTGTAGCGTGTGCCATGATACAGGTCCTTGGGCAAGGACCAGTGGTTAATGTCCCCAGTTTTCCCCTGAGCCTGGCAGGCAGTTGTACAAAATGCTGTTAACAAATAGATGTAAGCATGGCTTGCTCCTTGTATTCAGGAAGGTCGATCTCTTAAAGCCAGAGGGACTCTGACCTTCATCACACATGGGCTCTTCATTGCCCTTCCCAACCCTGAGGCCCCCTTCTCCTTCCAAGCCTCTTACTCTCTGTCACCCCCCATTCTGTCTACCTTACCACTCACCAAACCCTTGGAATAACCAAGCTCCGACCTGGGTGACAGGAAGTACTAGCTGGTCTGGTGAAGACACAGAGGCTTTAATTGATCAAGGTTATGGTCCATTTGAGGAATTTTATTGGTTAAATGATGCCCAGATGGGGTCACATCTTCAGGAACTTCTCAGCCTGGTAGCACGAGTGGATGCTTGAAGAAACTCAGTCCAAGTCCGTCTTGGAGCTCAGACCGCAGTGGAGATGGGATGTGGGTGGGATCACCAGGGGGCTAAGGTCCATTATGAGGCTGGTTATAGCTGAGGGTGAGGAAGGGCTTCTAGTACTAACAAACATTCCAGGTCCCTGAATGGGGAGAATGAAGACCCTGCCAAAGAGATGTGAAGCCACTCAGGGCTATGCAGGGTCTGAGGATCTCACTGCTTCCCAGTGCTCACCTGTCTGCACGAGTCAGAGGGAGCGAGCCACTGTCAGGGTCAGTTACACTGGCTCTCAGGAATGGTCTCCCCGTCTTAGGAAGCACCTTGATGCACCTTCTCTCCTTGCATCCTCACAACCACCCAGTCAGGCCACACAGGTCTTAGAGCAGCTCACACTTCCAAGATCCCAGGTAGAAGGACTGATTTGACTGAGAATTCAAGCCTCCTCAGGCCTGGATCTGAGACGGGAATCAGTCCTTACTTCCTTCCTCACTGCCCAGACACCAAGCCTGGGATGGCAAAGGAAAATTGGAGGCACTTTCTTCCCCTGAGCCATTTTCTCTGCATCCCCTGCCTGTAAGCCTTCACCAGCTTTTGGTCTCCCTTGTGGTTGTTGCAGCTGTTCCTCTCAGTGCCCTCACACCCTCCACTGTGCTCAGCACACTGGGGAAGAGAGAATACACAACCATTAGTTCTTCCTGAGGGCACAGAACTGCCAAGTGGTGGGGCCACTATGGGAACTAGGCAGCCTGCCTTGGTGACCTGTGTTTTCAAATGTTGCTTATGTTCATCTGTGACATCTTACCCTCTCCTGCTCCATTGCTTTAGGCTATGAACTCTCCAAAGTGGAAGGGAAAACAGGGACCCCTGAGAAGCCCCTCTCAGACCTTGGCCTCCTGTCCTATCGAAGTTACTGGTCCCAAACCATCCTGGAGATCCTGATGGGGCTGAAGTCGGAGAGCGGGGAGAGGCCACAGATCACCATCAAGTGAGCCTGGCCCCACCTACCTGGGGGTGCATGGCATGGCCTGTCCCCGGGCTTTCTCACTCTCTCCTGGGGCTCCTGGGGACAGATGAAGGTTCTCAGGGGACCTGACCTTTGCCCTCCCACAGTGAGATCAGTGAAATCACCAGCATCAAGAAGGAGGATGTCATCTCCACTCTGCAGTACCTCAATCTCATCAACTACTACAAGGTAGGGAGGAAGGTAGGGGGAGACAGGTGTGTGGAATGCAGAGTGCAGGCCCCTGTGGGCTGACCACTTGCTGGTCCATTTCCTCTGCCCAGGGCCAGTACATCCTCACACTATCAGAGGACATCGTGGATGGGCATGAGCGGGCCATGCTCAAGCGGCTCCTGCGCATTGACTCCAAGTGTCTGCACTTCACTCCCAAGGACTGGAGCAAGAGGGGGAAGTGGTGACCAGGCACTGCCCACTGCAGTGGCAAGACAACAGCAGGACTGGGGCTGATAGCACGCCCCACCCTGTCCCCACTGCAACTCCCACAAAGCACTCTAAGGGAGTTGGGGCTGAGGACAGCTCCAAGAGGAGGGGACAGGCCTAGCAGGGGCCCACTGGTGCCCAGTACCAAGGCGAGCTCAGGGCTCAGGCCAACTCCAAGGTCAGCTGGCTACAGGCCCAGGCCTGCTCTGAACCAGGGACCAGAGGGAGCCAGGCAGCTGTGTACAGTGAGATGGGGGGTGGGGGAGCTCTGTACAGAGGGCTAGTATTGTAAAAATTTCTTTTGTAAAGTAGAAGTTGGGGGTGGGGTGGGTGCTGGCTGCAAAGGATTCTGGACTTTCTTATTCCCATTGCCCTGGCAATAAATTGTTTCTTTATGCCAGAGCCCTGCAAGGTTCTTGTGGGAAAGGGGCCCATGCTGGCTTAAGGCCTCTAAGGCGCGCAGACTCAGGTGCTGTGAAGAGCTCCTTTATTGGGGTGATGGAATCAGTGGCTCCAAAATGAAGAACTGGTTTACTGCTGTGAAGGAAGGGATCGTGGCTTTCAATTTCAAGCTCTGGTTCTCAGTCCTCGGGCACCTGTGCGTGAATCTGCAACAGGAGTCGCCTCTGCTGTTGGGCTTGTAAGACAGGGCGGCAGGCTGACCCCCACACCCGGGGAACCACCCAGCTGTTCAGAATAACCCCTTCAGGACATGCGGGGAGCCGCGCTTCCCATGCACTACACAGTAGAATCCTCCAGGCTCCGTCTGCCCTACTGTGCTCCTCAGCCCGTGTTCCAAAACTCCACCCAGGGCAAGATCCAGAAAGGGGGCTCCTTGTGTACTCACCGCTGCCGCGAGGCTGGGCCAAGTTAAGGCCCCACGCACTTTGGCATCCGGGCCAGGGATGGTCTCCAGGCCCCACAGGGTGAAGCGGGTGAAGCTGGCAGTGGCTCCGATGAAGCGGTCCTGGGGAAGGGCCGGCTCAGCATCGGGAATGCAGCTCCCGCCCGCACCCGCTTCCTACCCTATCCCTTTTGCTCACGAAGTCCCGCTCCAGCGGCTCCTCTTCTTGGTCGTAAGTCCCAGAATCCCGCGAGGGATCCGGGTTCCCCATCAATCCCTCCTCTTCCGTCACCATTACGTATCCCACGACGCCGGGCGGCACCGCCACCTCCTCGCCCCGCAGACAGCGGCCCCGAAACGAGACTTCGAGTCCTGGAGCAGGAGGCGCAGGGCCTCAGGCAGGGACTCGTGCTAGGCCCTGCGGGGCGAGCCCAGGGCTGCCCTCCCGTCGCCTCCGGGTGGACCTCCACCCTCAAAAGCCCAGACGAAGAAGAGTGCGGGGGCTGCCGGGAGCCGTAGTCCGGCCGCAGCGCTCACCCTCAGGGCCCTGGCAGATGGCGGGCGTGAAGAAGCGCCCCACCGGGGCGGGCCCGTCCATCGCGACCTCGCAGGGCAGCAGGTGCAGTGTGGCGGGGGCGGCGTCGCGCAGCGTGGCGGGGCGCAAGTGGACGCGGTGCCTCTCGATTGGTACCTCGTCGCCGCTCTCCATCCTCGCTCCAAGGCGACGCCGTTGCTCGCGCACTGAGGCCGAAGCTGGCGTGGAAAGCGCGCAGGGCCTCTTGGGAAGCTGCCGCGGAGCCTCACGGGAAGTGTAGTTCCCCCTACCCCCGACGCTTTCCCTGCAAGCCCTGCCTCCCTGGATCTAAGTCCCAGGGTTTCTCCTTTTTTCTTTTCTTTTTTCCTTTCCTTTCCTCTCTCTTCTTTTCCCCCTCTCCCTTCTCCTTCCCTCCCCTCTCTTCCTCTCCTCTCCCCTTCCTCTACTCTGTTTTTTGTTTTTTGACACAGTCTCGATTTGTCTCCCAGGCTGGAGTGCAGTGGTGCGATCTCGGCTCACTGCAATCTCTGCCTCCTGGGTTAAAGGGATTCTCATGCCTCAGCCTCCCAAGTAGCTGGGATTATAGGCACGCGCCACACCAGGCCCTGCTAAATTTTGTATTTTTAGTAGAGACGGGGGTTTCATCATGTTGGCCAGGCTGGTCTCGAACTCCTGACCTCAGGTGATCCGCCTCCCAAAGTGCTGGGATTACAGGCGTGAGCCACCGCGCCTGGCTGGGTATTTTTCTGTTTTTGTTTTTAATGACGCGTAATCATTGTAAAAATCTGAAACGATTCTGAAATGTACTCTTTACATTGGTAGGTATTTTTTTTAGTTTACTAAGAACATCAACCGTTTTCTCAAATACATTGAAAATGTTTTATCTGTGGTCTGTCTAAGGGTGATTTTTGCTGGACAAAGACTTATTTTTGTTGTTGTCGTTTGTCTGGTTTTTTTAGACAAGGTCTCACTCTGTCACCCAGGCTGGAGTACAGTGACAGAGTTTGATTGGCTCACTGCAGCCTCGACCTCCCAGGCTTAATTCATCCTCCCACCTCAGCCTCCCGTATAGCTGAAACCACAGGCCTGTGTCACCTCGCAGCTAATTTTTGTATTTTTGGTAGAAGCGGAGTTTTGCCATGTTGCCCAGGCTGGTCTTGATCTCCTGGACTCAAGTGATTTGCCTGCCTTGGCCTCCCAAATCATGCTGGAATTACAGGTGTAAGCCACCATGCCCAGCACAGAGACTTACTTTTTTGTAGTCAAATTTATCAACATTTTTCATGTCTTTTAGATTTCGCAAACCCTCTCTCTTTGGTTTCTCAACTCTTCTCTAATGTTTATTTGTTCAGATACCCAACTTAGACGTATTTTTCAAGTTCTCACATAAACTTACACAAAACTGGAAATTTAGATTTAAATTGCATTTAATTTATACATTCCTGGACATCTGGGAGCTGGCCTTGGTATTCTGTTGAACATAAACAATTTCAGAGAATATCACCATTGCACAAGGTCACTCTGTGTCCGCAAGGGAGAAAGACAGAAACAGAACCACTCTATCATCACATCTGAACGCTGACAAAGGTGAACACTGTCCAAACCACAAAAGGCACAAAACATCCCTGTTTCTCTCACAAGAAAGTGACTGTTGTTTCCTTACCAAGTACAGCATTGGCCTCCATCTAATCTCCCCTTCTGGGTAAGATTCGTTGATAGTCCATCATAGACATACCCCCATTTCTGACAACATCCAAGCCAGAGGGAAGCCTGGCTTCCCTAAACCCTGACTGAAATCACTGAACATGGCCGGTGATTTATCCTCCTCTGAAGTCCTTTTAAGTCCTTAAATCCTCTTAATCCTTAAGTCCTCTTAAATCTTCCTCTTAAGTCCTGTCTAGCTCCCTCTTACTGAAATGCCCCAGAGTGCAGGAGTAATAAACCCAGTTTGTTCAACTGAAGATGTACTCCTGGTGGTCTATGGCCAGAGTGGCAGATTAGTTCAGAAAAAGGCTCACTTTAGTTTTCTATCATTAATAAAATACATAATTCCATTTTCCACATCTCCTTGTATATCTGTATAGTTTGTTCATATAGAATAGATATTAATAGATATTGTAAAGTTTATTTCTTCCTAGGTTATATTAATATTTGTTTCTATTAAAAACTGAGGGGCTAGGCATGATGGTTCACATCTGCAATTCCAGTGCTTTAGGAGGCCAAGAGGGAGGAGGATTGTTTGAGGCCAGGAGTTCGAGACCACCCCAGGAAACATAGCAAGACCAGCCTGGCCAACACGGTGAAACCTTGTCTCTACTAAAAAAATACAAAAATTAGCTGGGTGTGGTGGCGCATGCCTGTAATCACAGCTGCTTGGAAGGCTGATATAAGAGAATCTCTTGAACCCAGGAGATGGAGGTTGCAGTGAGCCGAGATTGCACCCTTGCACTCTAGCCGGGGGCTGCAAGAGCAAAACTCTGTCAAAAACAAACAAACAAACAACCGTTTTTTTAATTTTTAATTTTTTTTTTTTTGACCCAGGGTCTTGCTCTGTCACTCAGGCTGGAGTGCAGTGGTGTGATCTGGGCTCACTGAAGCCTTGACTCTCAAGCTGAAGCAATCCTCTCACCTCAGCCTCCCAAGTAGCTGGGACTACAGGTGCATGCCACTATGCTCGGCTAATTAATTTCTGCATCTTTTGTAAAAACGGGATTTCGATCTATTGCCCAGGCTGTTCTCAAACTCCTGGGCTCAAGCAATCTGACTGCCTCAGCCTCCCAAAGTGTTGGGATTATAAGCATGAACCACTGCACTCAGCAGTTTTTTTTCTTTTTTTTTTGAGACAGGTCTTGCTCTGTCACCAGGCTGGAGTACAGTGGCGTGATCATGGCTCACTGCAGCTTCAGCCTCCCAGGCTCAAGTGACCCTCCTACCACAGCCCAGCTAATTTTTTAGTTTTTTTGTAGAGATGGGATCTCACTATGTTGCCCAGGTTGGTGTTGAGCTCCTGGGCTCAAGCAATCCTCTCACCTCAGATTAAAAAAAATTTTTTTTTTTTTTTGAGATGGAGTTTCACTCTTGTTGCCCAGGCTGGAGGGCAATGGCGCCATCTTGGCTCACCGCAAACTCTGCCTCCTGGGTTCAAGTGATTCTCCTGCCTCAGCCTCCCAAGTAGCTGGGATTACAGGCACATGCCACCACGGCCAGCTAATTTTTTTTTTTTTTGTATTTTTAGTAGAGATGGGGTTTCTCCATGTTGATCAGGCTGGTCTTGAACTCCTGACCTCAGGTGATCCACCTGCCCCAGCCTCCCAAAGTGCTGAGATTACAGGCGTGAGCCACTGTGCCTGGCCCAGATCATATTTTAAAATTAAGAAATGTACCTTGTTTTTAAGACATAATGAATGCTATTGCCCACTTAATATAGTACAGTGTAAATATAACTTTTGTATGCACTGGGAAACCAAAGAATTTGTGTGATTAATATCACAATATTAGTTTTATTGTGGTTGTCTGGAACCAAATCTCTACGGTCTCCAAGGTCTGCCTGTATACTCCGCGGTACTGTAGGTCTCTTGTAAGAGAACATTCCCAATTCCTGCTGTTTTATGATGCCTCGATACTCACTCACTTGTTCATATGCTATCATCGTCCAATTCATTGTTGCTGTTTTAAATGTTTTTCTCTTTTCTTTTTAGTTGACACACAACACTTGTACCTATTTGTGGAATTAGAGTGAAATGTCAGTGTGTATGCAATGTGTAATGATCAAATCAGGGTGATTAGCATATTCATCACCTTGGACATACATCCTTTCTTTGTGTTGTCAACATTCAGAATCCTCTCTTCTAGTTTTTGAAAATACACACTAAATTCTTGTTCTTGGTTTTTTCTTTATTATTATTTTTCTTTATTATGGGCGGTGTCTCCCCTCGAGGCGGACCGCCCACTGCTCCCGAGATCCAGGTAGCAGCTTTTTACACGAAATTACTGTTAATCATGTCCACCCTGCAGTGATAAATAGCACTGGACTGACTCCTCCCACCTAACTGTAACTCTGTATTTATTGGCTTCCTCCCCCTATCCTCCCCTCCCCTTCCCAGCCTCTAATTATTCCAATTCTACTCTCTATTTTAATGAGCTCAGATTTTTTTAGCTCTCAGATATGAGTGAGAACATGTGATATTTATATTTCTGTACCTGACTTATTTCAGTGAACATAATGTCCTCCCGGCTCCACCATGTTGTGGCAAATGACAGGATTGCCTTCTTTTCGTGGCTAAATGCTACTCCAGTCTATATGTCCCACATTTTCTTTACCCATTCATCTGCTGATGGACATTTGGGTTGATTCCATCTCTTGGTTATTGTAAATAGAGCTTCCATAAACATAGGGGTGCAGGTGTGTTTTATATATATATAAAATACGTATTCATTATATATTACATATAATATATAATTAAAGTATAGTTATATAATGTAATATACCTATTATATATTATGTTATATATTATAATGTATAATATATATTTTGTATAATATGTACATATATATGCAGATACATATATATAACATATATGTAATATATTATAAATTATGATTTATGTGTATAATTTATAGCTAAATTATATTGTATATTATATATTATATACGATGTATTATAATTGTATAATATAATTTATATATGATAGGCAATATATTATAATGTATAACACATAATATGTAATATAGAATAAATAATAGATAAAACAAATATATACTATATAGTTTTCGAGGCGGGTTCTTGCTCTGTCACCCAGGCTGGACGCAGTGGGTGTGGTCATGGCTTACTGCAGCCTTGACCTCCTGAGTTCAAGTGACCCTCCAGCCTCAGCTAGGACCGCAGGTGCACATCACTGCACTGTGTAATCTCCAAACTTATCTTCAATATGTTGACGTCAGTTTCTTTGGATAATATCCAGTGGTGGGATTACTGGATCATATCATAATACAACTTTAGTTTTGTTTTTGAGGAACTTCTATGCAGTTTTTCATAGTGGCTGTACTAATTTACTTTCCCCACCAGTGGGTGACTTCTCCTCGTCTACATTACCACCAGCATTTGATACTTTTTGCCTTTTTGATGATAGCCATTCTGACTGAGGTGAGATGGTATCTCATTGTGGTTTCAATTTGCATTTTCCTGATTCTCAGTGATGTTGAATATTTTTTCATATACTTTTTGGCCGCGTGTAGATCTTCTTTTT